GTAGGTAGGTATACAGTATGTGTAGCTAGAAGTGTAGGTACATAGATTGATGTGTGGGAAGATATAATGATTAATTGATTAACTGATTTCCCCTCCATCAGTCCAGACAAGTCAGTCTGCAGTCAATAATGAAATCAGTCCTTTTTTCTTTGAAGTTTGTCCTTTCTGTTGGTAGTGGTGTTGGCTTCTTGCAGCAAAGCACAGCAAAGAACAAAGCATCAGCCACAACAATCCGCAAGAAGTACTTAAATGAAGGATCTTAGAGTTCTGCCTCACTTCTGACGAATATCTTCGTCTTGTTTGGTATCGGGCCTCTGGTCCAGTCTGGTGTTGATAGCAACACTTGCAGTCCTCTGCCTCCATGACATCCTCAAGTCAAACCTAAAGTAAATGTTTTTACCAACCCTACATGTGCTCCTGAGCAATGCTGCTTTTTATTGCCTCCATCAACCACTTCCTTTCCAAATAAAAGGTTGTCATTCTGACAGGCTTTAAATGAAAGTATGTTCTAGCTTGTTTGTTTCTTGTAACACACATACACAGAAAATGAAGAAAAAAATCCCAGAGTGATAGTGTGATTGAAGTAATACCTTTTATCTTAATTTTCCATCTACTGAACGCTCCCTCTGCAGCTCTTTCTCATTTATAATTAGACAGGCAGATTCTTGCTGTCACTTTGTTTTTTTGTCCTCAAACTGCTCGTCTCTTATTCACATGCCCCGCACCATTGTCAAAGACTATGTTCATCTTTCCATCTAGTTTATTTTCACATGTTTTTTAAATTATTTATGCAGCTATTTTCAGCTCTTTTATCAAAGCATGGTTTCAGCAAAAAGAAAGCAGCTGAGAGAAAAAAAAGGGTGACAATGCTGCACTCCTGTGACATCTGCTGAGTGAATCTGTTTTTAGCTATATTTATCCAGGCAAAAAGTTGCTGATGGAATATATTCTCCTACAGTGAAGATCACCCTCACTACTTTTTTACACATATACACCTCACATTAAATTATTTAGTTAAAAAACAACTTTAACAAAAAGCTAATTGTTATTTTTCCTCAGCTTTGATTCAGATTTTATGCTTTTGCTCCATCTTTTCTTTCTCCACTGTAATTCACAAATTTTTCTTCAGCTAAAATTCTATTTTTGTTCCCCACTAACCTTAAAATTGAAGTGTAATTGAGTGCCTCAGTGTGAAAGAAAAAAGGGTTCCTGATCTCAAACATAAAAGCATCTTGAACCAGATGTATGGGTCTGACATTTAGTCCATCCCTGAGGGGAGCTTTCTGTTGTGAAACAGCTGGAACTGAAAAAAAAAAAAAAAACAAGCAACTTTACACTTGCTGGGGTCAATCTGTCTCAGAGTTACTGAAGAAAAATGAGTATCTTTATACAGTCTGTATTTTCTTTCCTCTTCAACAGAGGATGGATAAATATACTTACTGTTCCAGTTTGTTTATGCTGGGACACAAAATGTTTAAAATCTCATTCTTTAACATTTTATTTAAAGGGTTTTTTAGGGCTTGTTGACAGACATGTCTGACCTACTGAACTACATCAAATGGTCGATGTAAATTGTTTCTTTCTTTATGTTTGAATTTTTATTGCTCTGTTTGCCCAATATCAAGGGACTTAAGCTCCTATTAGACAAATCTGACGTACAGTTGGTATATTAGCTACTTGTGTTTACTGGGAGTGACCATATAACAAATTGAGTTTGTAGGTTTATTCAAACTTAAAGTAGACATATCATGCTTTCAATCCTTCCTTTTCACATTTTAATCATTCATTTTGGGGTCTTTATAAAGTAGTCTTTGGTCTGAATTCCTCCTTATTCTGACTTAACCAGCTCCTCTTTCACCCCTTTTCTGCTGTGTGTCTCAAAACAGCTGGATTTGTTACAGCCCCACCCACCCCCATCCGGCCCCTCTAGCTTGCAGAAACATTGTATTTACAATTTAATTAAAAACTAAAAAATGTCAACAAAAGAAGACTTGTCCATCCAGCCTTACATATTGGATCCAGAGTCTGACCCAGAACCAAAGGAAAACCAAGAGAAGGAAATTATGGTCAATAGGTCCAGAGCTAATTTGGCGATTCCATTGCAGAAGATTTGAAGTAATAGCTCAGAAAATAGAGAAACTGAACGGGCTGAAAAAGATGACCCAAACAGAATATAAAGATTTATTTGCAGCATCAGGAGAGACTAAATCCAGCTTTTCTGCACTCCTAGACCCTTCTAGTCCAAAATGTAATGTATTTAACAGCTAAAAAAATGGATTTTGCATGACATGTCCCCTTTAAGGAAGTCTCATGTAAGTTTATTAACTAGCAAAAAGGTGTACTGGTACTTACCTGGTATGCACCTGCACTTACTCTTACCTATTGGGTGAGTTAAGGTAAATACCCATGTACCTGGGCTGGATCATGTATTGCTACCAAAAAAAGGCACTATATTTCATCAGACTTAGGGAAAAAATATTTTTTTCCACCAACAAGGACGACCTGTTCCTTCAGTCTGCCAAAAAAGCATATTTGTCATGAAAAAAAACCTCTTACCTCATCGGTTTGGACTTTAATTGCATGCCATTTCCGAGACAAGTTGTTTATCTGATTCAGTCACTCAAGACTGACATTTCAAAAAAGGAAGCATCTCTGCATCATTTACACAAATATAAGAGCTTCTTTCAAGTTAATTATGTAGGCTGATGAGATTGATTTGAAACCAGCTGTGAATATTTATAGTGTGGGATTTGCAATAAAAGACGAGCAATATCAGAAATGAGAATAATAAAATGCCACTTTTCTACCAATTAGATGTCAGTAGTTTTGTACTTTTCAAGCTGTAAAACTCTTGATTTCCAGTTCAACTCCACCCCGGCTTCAGAGACCCGTGTGAGTCAAACTGCTCTACTTTTTTTTAGGCCACCACAAAGATCCACTGCTGTTCATAGCTTTCGCTTTCCTTCTTATTAGTGACACAGTTAGAAACCCCCACAGACAGAGGCCATCAACCTGTCTTTTTTAATCAGATTCTCTGTCCACTAGAAATATACCCAACCCAGAAAGCCTTGATAAGTGACAACCATAGAGCCACTGTAACAACAAGAAAGATGACACTCATCTGACAGTGAACTCCGGGGTGGCAAGACACTCAAACATGAGTGAGCGTGGGCATACGACTTGTGATGGTTGCCATAGTAATGTCCCTGAGGCTCGTCGCAATATTTAGACCAACCGCTTTGAGCGACATCTGCGGCTCAGAGTTACTGCTTTCATCTAATAGAAGAAATGTTGCGAAGGCTGAGAGTTTTTAGATTGCAAGTGAGCTGAAGAAATTCTGACCTTGCGCCGTGAGGTATTTTCCAGGTATACGTAGTTCAACTCTACACCACAATCAAGTAACTACAGTATGTTAAATGATATCCAAACACTTCATAGCCTCTGTCTCTTCAACAACCTCAGCATGGGAGGGGTGCTTTGTGGGCCGGAGCTCAGCTGCAGATTGAGCTCCAGGGAGGAACTTTGGGCAAATAGGCGGAGCTTTATACCAACATGTTTTTGGGCAGCTCCACATGGTGACCACATGAGATTAAAGGATTTCTTAAACATGCATGAATAAGTCAAAGCAACTCTGGGCGAGTTTTTGACGAGGGAACGACATTTTAACATGATAAAAAGCTCAAAAAATTAGATTTTATATAATCCTGCCCCCCTCGCGCGCACACACACACACACACACACACACACACACACACACACCTTTTAAAAGTCTCATTTATCACCAACAGCCCAGCTCTCAAATTGCACTAGATTTGGCTACAGTACATAATGCCTGGCAATGTTTTAAGTTAATTTGTGTTTTGCTTTTTTTTCTTGCTCTGTTTTGGCTGATAGAGCACCATTGCCCAGTCAGGCTCATTTATCTCTTGTGCAAATACGGCTGATCAGATACAGAAAATTGGATTTTCCTCAAGCTACAAGAAAATAAGCAGGTGCAGATAACGTACGGGTAAAACTAAGATGTTCTCATTGAACCTCTTTGAAAAACTGGACCTGCTTCTAGGAACAAAAAGAATTTTGGCCAAAAGTAGCATTTTGTGTATCTGTGTGTATTTTATTTAACTTACAATGACTAAACTGAAGGCAAAATGTCAGTTTATTTAGCACAGCTGTATTAAATGTGGGACAAATGTCTCACTTACATATTCTTTTCATTCACCAGCAGCCTGTCACTGGCAATCACAGTAACACATGTATGTCAAACTCAAGGCCTGTGGGCCAAATGTGGCCTGCGGGTTACTTCCGTCCTGCCTGGCAAGTCAGGCAACATTTTACTGCAGCCAGCCAATAGGAGGGGCTCAACCTTTGTTGTTTCAATGCATTGCTAGGCTGCAGATGACCTAGTATCGATGTCACAAAAAGCAGACCGGGGGTGGGGGGAGTAAGTGCAGCCCCATTTCCTACCTAAATTCTGCAACGTGTACAGTTGTTGCAACCACTCTAATTGGAAGAAAGATGAACGTTTTTTTTGTGTTCCGAAAGTATTTTGTCACAAGGGAGTTAAAAAAAGACGACAGAAGTCCATCAACAGTCTATGATTGAAAACAGGAGGTGCAGAAACGGACAGTAGAAGAGTTTGCAGTGATCACGTAAACAACAGTTAAGGATAGTTTAAAGCAGAGATTCTTAACCTATGGGCCGCGGCTCAATTGTGGGCCGTGAGCACCACCTTGAGGGCCTCAAAAGAACAACAGTTTTTAATTTTGGGCCGCAGAGGGCCGCGGGAGCGCATTGATTTTGAATAACGTGCAATACACTTTCTCACCACTAGTAGCAGTAGTGCGCCACTCAGTTGTTTAACAACTTTTTTAGTACGTAGAAGAAGAACCTTAGAAACCTGCCGAGAATGGAAAACTATTTTAAATTAAAAGTAGAAGCAAAAATGAAAGTAACCCAACAAAAAATGCCAGTTTGTCACTAATATGAAGTGCAGCTTCTGTTTTTACCATGCACTATTTAAAAAATTCAAAACATTATCAAATATAGTTGCAGATACAACTATATTTTAATTTGCACTTTAATTTAATTTTTGTAGTTTATTTTTAAACAGTTTTAAATGCATTTTAAAGAAATTTTAAACTTGTCAAAAGGCTGTTGTTACTGTTATTGTTTGTCACTCATATGAAGAGCAGCTTCTGGTTGCAAAAGTTTAAAAAGGCCATATTTTCATTTGTACTTTATCAAAATTATTTTTTACATATTTTTTATTTGAAACCTTTGCATTGTTATGGAATAATTATGTATATCTGTTCTACCTTGACACTGTCCAGTAATCATATCTCATGATAACTAGTTTCGGCTGTTTTAATCTATCGGCCCAGACTTCAAGACTCCAGCAATGCATGACCTCTCTTATTTTGATAAGGTGTTTCCGGGCTGACAGCCCTGTCATTGGTTAGATGGTCCACGGTTGGCGAACTGTGATTGGTTGTAAGCATGTTACAGGATGTTATATTATCGGCTGCTCTGCGCTGATGCGGCAGCCACAACTTGACAGACTTCTCTGATTGACTTCTGCTCTGTTGTTGCTCAAATTAAAT